TGAGCTCCCAAAACAGCTCCTGCCCTTACTAAGCCCCAAATCTTTCTTAAATTGAGTAGTTGGTAGGTGGGACTCTGGCTCAGGCACTGGAAAAGGAAACGTCTAGTCTTTGCTGTTACTCACCATCACCCCGACCATACCCACATCGCTTCATTGTAACCCTCAGTCTCTTCACCTTCTACAGAGCTGGATTTGAATGAAGGTGGTGAGAAACAGCCCCTGCTTTTACACTCTAGTGTTTACAATAAGTTACAATAGAAGACAAAGTATGAGAACGCCCTAAGTATCAACAAATGGTTCAAAAATATAGAAAAAGAGAGAGGCATTCTGATTGAGTGTCTCCACAATGTTACCATAATTCTTACCTAATTTTTGTACCAGTGGTTTAAAAATATAAACTACCCTGGAACATGTCAGCTAATAATTTTTAACCACAGTAAGGCTCTAAGTAATATCAAATCCTATGGAGGCAGCTAAGGTTTTCAAAGAACAGAAACCTTTTTAATTGTTTAATTCTTTGCTCCAACAAAAATACTATTTAGAATAACCATATGGGGAGACAAACACATTCCATGTAATCTCCTCTGTGCTCTATTGTATTTTCTGCTGTCGTCGTGTGTAATCATGTTCACATGCATGTCCTGGAATCTCTAAGAGATCCTGCAATTGTCGTGCTCAATTTAAAGGGTATTTTACAGAGATTTTCAAAACAGGCTGAATGAAAAGTTTATTTTTCTTTTCATTCAGAACTTAAAAAAAAATTTCTTTATCTATTGATTTGTTGTGATTTCAAGCCTCTGGGTCCAGAACCTGGACCACAGTCAGCCATGTGGGAATTCATTGCTTTAACCATCATGCCACCTGCTGGCCCCATCGTTTCATTTGACCAGCCCCAGCGTGCCCCCATAGCACAGTGGTTAATGCCTTGCATGGAGAGTCGGGTCCTTCATGGCCAACTGAGATTCAAATCTTGGCTTTGATGGCTTGAAAAACACACTAAGCACATGTCTGTATGCCCAAGATCCTGACAGGCTGGGGAGATGGAAGAGAAAAGATTGCATCATGACCATGCACCACAGACTCAGGGTTTTCTCCCTTTCCCTCCCTCCCTCCCCCCTCCCCCCTCTCTCTGGCAAATACAGGTCCTCTGGCAACACTTTCTTAAAAATTATCTATCCTTGAGTTGGTTAATTGAATAGAATTAAAGAACCAGACCACCCGAAGCATCTCCAGGCCTCTGGTTTAATCAGCTCAGCCTGCACCTCTCTGATAAACATGTTGTGTATCCTAAGTGTCCAGTGTCCACTGACCTCAATGTTCTGTACCAGGGAACTACTATTATTACTTGCCTTGGGCTCACGTAAAGCCAGTTGTCACCCTGACTTCATACTGGGAGGACATTAGTCATCGCCTGGATGCGGTGAACACGCTCCTGGTCATGGCAGAACGACTGGTAAGTTTATCTTTTCTACATTTCCTTTTCACCAGACAGAGTGAATGAATGCATTATGTATTAGTTAGGACCCAGGCCAGGCCACTGTAACATCAGAATACAGGATCCAGTGGTCAACGAGTAAGAGCGACTTCTTTACTAACAACTGAGGTAGGTGTCCCAAGCTGGCATGGAGGGTCGGTGATGTCGGGAACCCGGGCTCTTTCCCCATTTGCCTCTCTAAGAGTTTTCAGTGTTTGAATGGCTGAGACAGCTCATCACTGCCTCCACCCTCCAGCCTGAGAACAGGGGAAAAGTGTGGGGGAGGAAGACACAGGTCTTTTCCTTTGAGGGAGACTCACACACCTGATTTCTCCTCACTTTCCATTGGCCAGAATCCAGTCATAAGGCCACATTTAAAGTCAAGGGAGTTAGGAAATGCAGTCTTATGTCTAGGCAGGCATATGCCCAGGTTAAAGTTTTCTGACTGTGGAAGGGGAGAGGAGAGGAGAAGCAGAGGTGGGAGGCAGCACCTCTTAGTCTCTACCATAATTTGTGTGTGGAAAATGGACCATTCAAAGATCATTCTGGACCTCTTAGAGCATTGCCGTTAGTGCAATAACAATCTCCACTGTAGGAAGAGGTAGCTTAGAGAAACCAGCCCCTGATAGTTTCCATTCTTGCTGAAGACCAGAGAAACTTCCCTTGTTTGGCAGTTGAGGGGTTACCACTGGCAGGAACTGCATAGATAAGGTATCTATGATTATCCATTCGATTGACATTGGTCAACTAGATTGGTAAGAAGGAGGACATGTTTGGGATATTTTAAATTACATGAAAGTTATCAAGTTATTTATAAAACAAGAACTGATAAAATACATCTGGTATTAGTATTTTGATTTCCGAATTACATTAATAATTACTTTTTTATATATATACTTTTTTTGGAGAGGTTTTTGCTATAGGGTATGTGCACTGACCAGACAGAGAGAGAGAGAGAGACAGAGAGACAGAAAGTGAGAAATCACCCCCCAGGGGGGATGGCCAGGCCACAATCCCTTCTTCATTCTCCTCTCGGGATCTTGGGCACGCACGCACGCACACGTGCCCGGTGTGTGTTTAATCCGCCAGGTCTGGGACTCGAACCGCGGTCGACTATGTGGGAGTCCAGCAACATAGCCATTACGCTAACTGCTGGTCTAATAATTACTTTTTCTAAGATCTAACCTCTACCAGGACTGGACCAAGACATGTGGAGCTCTTGGAGGGTCCTGATCTAGGGTCCTGATCTATGACCCTATGGCAAAAATCTAAAAATATTTTATGTTAATAAAGATAATCTGGGAGTATTTAAATTAGATTTAAATTAACTTAAGCATAATTGTTCATATAATAAAGTTAAAATTGACATGCAGCATAAATTAATTGGAGTATTAATTTCTAACCCCTCTTCTCAAGGGAATTGGCAGACAGTTAATCATCCCTTTATTCTAATTGTGTTTTCAATGTTCTTCAGCTTTTTCATCCTGGTTCTTATTAGCCCTCCTCTCCATTGACCAAGCTGTCCCAGCTCCATGCTGTTCTCGAGAGGTGGTGGCTTTCTATGATCAGGACTTTTGATATTTATAGTGACACTCCGTCAACCTCTCTGCTGGCAGGTGTTAATGTGGCACAACCATTTGTTCTGGGCTGGTCTTGAGTTTCCTCTGCCTCAGCCCTGGAATACCATTTCTCCAAAGGTCTCTGGTATCTTCAGTAGGGAATGGCATCTTCGAAACAAGATCTTGGTGCTAGGGTACTCACTACGATGGAAATGTCATGGCTTCTAGGCTTTACCAGCAGACAAATGTGTACACACACACACACACAGAGGTCTTCGAAAATTTTGTGAAAGATGTGTATTATGAAAAATTTATGCATGGATTGCAGATTTTTCGTACCAAAATAAATTTCTACTTTAATTCCATTTTCCATAAACTTTTTGAAGTCTCTGCATCTATGTATATTAGTTCTATGTCAATCTACTAGAAGCCATGAGTTTATAAATGTGCCTCTGATTCCAGTCTAACACCCCAGGGTTTGTTCTAGTCTTCCCTGTATTTATGTTTTCCCTTTTTAAAAAAAGTTTTTGTGTAATTTATTTTAATTTTATTTAATTAATTTTTAAAATTTTGCCACAGGGTGTGTATGCCCACCATAGAGAAGGAGAGAGAGAAAGAAAAGCAAACTGCCAGGTCCAGGACTTGAACCACAGTTGGCCATGTGGGAGTCCAGCATCTTATCCACCACGCCACCTGCTGGACCCCCATGTCTGTTTTTAACTCCACTCTGTAACAATGAGAAATCTAGCCTCTGTTATTGTCAATATATTTTTTCATTTGTTCAATTCTAAAATCCATCAATGAACTATTGCAAAAAAGAAGCCTACTACACTAATTAGAGTTCTATACGCTTATGGGTTTTGGAGCTTTTTTGCCTTTTAACTAAGGGTTAAAATACTGTGTTCAAAAGTTACTTGGGACAGTGTAATTATGTTATTCATCTGAAATATAATTAGATCTAATTTGTTTCTGTTTGCACTACATTTCAGAGTCTCTTCTCCTATCCTTGCTAATTTTGTTTTATTTATTTTTAATACATCAAATATTTGTATAGTTTCAAAGGTCATATGTGAAAAAGTCCTAATACATATGACCTTTTACATAATGAAAAAGCCCTATTACTTAAATAGATTAGTGTTTAATTGCCTTTTGAAGGAAACTAGATAGTGCTAAGCTGTGGTAAATATTACTTCAAAAAATATTTCGTTTTCCTGTAAGTCTTTTTCTCTTTTTTTTTTTTTTTTGATAGGTTTTTGCTATAGGGCTCGTGCGCTCACCAGACAGACAGAGACAGAGAGATAGAAAGTGAGAAATCACCCACCAGGGGGGATGGCCATGCTGCAATCCCTTCTCCTCCGTTCTCCTCTCAGGATCTTGGTCACGCACGCACACACGCCCAGCGTGAGTTTTAAGCCACCGGGTCCGGGACGTGAACCACGGTCGACTACATGGGAGTCCAGAGTCATTACGCTAACTGCTGGTCCCATCTCTTTTCTTTTTTTCTTTTAACGTAAAATAAATGTTACTGGACCAGCAGATGGCTTAATTGGTGACAATCTCACCCCGTGGCCCCACCGGCTTTCACAGAGAGGAAAGGTCTGGCAACAGCTCAGCTGGGCTCTCACATGGCCGACCACTATTTGAGTCCCAGACCTGGAGGCTTGAAACACGCTGGGCACGTGTGCATGTGTGCCCAAAATCCCAAGAGAGAACTGGAAGAGAAGGGATAGCAGTGTGGCCAACCCCCGTGAGGGGTGATTTCTCACTTTCTGTCTGTCTCTGTCTGTCTCTCTAGTGAGCACATGCACCGTATAGCAAAAATAGTTCTAATAATAATACTACTAATAATAAAAATTTAAAAATTAAAGTTTAGCCTTTATTGGGCATCCCTTCATGATGTATAATTACCAATTGTTTCTCTTTTTTCCAAATTCTTTAGCAATCAAATGTAGAAGCACTAAAATCAGGGATACAAGGTAAAATTCCTGCAAACCAGCTGGCCGAATTGTGGTTGAAACTGATAGACGAAGTTATAGAAGACACAAGGTATAGTCACCTTATTCCTGCCTCAATTCCCAGCCACGCTCTTTTCCCTGGAATCCTAGGACTATGAGAGCCTAGAGTCATTTCTAGTGTTTGTCTGAAAAATGACTTTGACCTACTCAAGTTTCTGAAAAGGCCCTCACTAGAGGAGTCTCTGAGTCACCACCAGGAAAAGCTCCGTTTACTGATTTGGTGCCAGTTCTAAAGTAGCCCAAGGAGGCTGAGCCTCCACTCCCAGAAGCCAGTCCCAGAGCAAGGGGTAGGCAGAAGTGGGCCTTGCTCGGGCTTTCCAGAATCCATGGATCTCACCGCTCTGAAGAATGACTACAGTCTCTGGGCTCCCACAGACAATGGGGTCTGAGGGTGGAGCATGGGTTTTACCAAACAGAACAATGTTCCTAATTCATAGACATATTTTTAGAACCAGTCCTTTTACTTGGCTCTTGTGCGGAACGTTTGAGGAACACCGGCCTCCGTGAGGCAAACAGAGGCGGCGATTTGACTTGAGCCTGCCGACCTTCCGTAACTGTGACTTGGGGAAACGGCTCAGCTCCTCGGGCATGTGGAAGTCAACAGGGGAAGTGATTCATTCCCAACTCATTTTAAACATTGGCTAATAACGCAGTGGACAGGGAAGTTCCAAAAGAAGAGTTTATTGAATATTTGCCCTTAGGGCAAGAACCTTGGCCTTTTTTAATCCCTCTGGGCTCAGCCCTAAATCACCCTGTACTCTTGTGCCTCCTAGTGGTGAAGTCAGGTAATTGAAATGCCCCAGAGACCCAAGTACTGCAGGTGCTTGGAGTCTAGTATGTGTCTTAGAGTTGAGAAGCAGAGGCCCAAGGAGAGAAAATTATGAGTCTGATGCCCAGAGGTGGGTTTCCCAGCATAACCCCTCTTCCTGCTCCGTATTTTGCAGCTGGGATCTGTTTCATCAAAAGTCTCAATTGTGACTTGAGCTAACATCTTCCATGTATGTTTTTATCTCAAAGAATCACTCCAGGGTCTCACCCCTTCAAACGTACTGCCATAGACTTTGATGAAGCCAAACAGAAATATCTGGTACACTCTCAAATCGAAAATGTCTGTGAATGTTAAGGTTTACTGAGGAGATTACAGGCATACCTATTTACATTTCCAATATGAACTATTTTAAAAAATCAAATTGGAACCTTTTTTAGCTTCATGTAACAGGAAATTCAGTGTTTAAGGGAAGTCACCCTAGGATTTCCTTTATTTAAGAAGCTGGGTGAAATTCAAATGAGTGGAAATTCTAGGTGGAGATAGCATGAGTAGAACTTCCTGAAATTGGTGACAACCTCACCCCGTGGCCCCACTGGCTTCCACAGAGAGGAAAGGTCTGGCAGCAGCTTGGCTGTTCCCTGCAACCCTGTCCCTAGACATCCCAGCTTTCCTTTGGAATGAGGGCTTGGCCCGCACAGATGGTTCTTAGTCACTTTGGAACTCCCCTTGGTGACTCTGTTGAGGTGACAGTGACGAAGATGGCAATGCGTGATGATGATGGTGTTGGCATTTGGACTGCGACGTAGCAGGCACTGTTCTAAATGCTCCTCCCATAGATGAGTCCATTTTCCTCTCACGACAACCCTACGAGGTAAATTTTATCTTCCCACAGGTGAAGATTGGGAAACAGAAATTAAGTAACTGATTCAGGTCCAAGAACTGGTAAATGTGGGCCCATTTTAGAGCCAGATGGTTGGATCCAACGCCCCCAACCTTCCCCATAGGTCACACTGCCTGGAGACACAGACATACGCCCTTTTCTTTAAAGTCGCCAGGCGTCACAGACCTTGAGAAGCCTACCTGTAGACCGCCTCGAGGCCCGTGGTCTCTAAGTTAAGAACTGTCAGAATAAATGATCTCTCACCTCCCTTCTTCCTCCATCATTTTATGGGTCCATATAAAGGTTCTAGGCGGCTAAAGGAGGGAAGGCCTATTTCTCTTAGCTTCTGCCGTTTCCATCTTTCCAGTGACTCCATGGGCCTTAGGTCGCATTGAAGGAATGACTTGGAATTTTATTCCCCCCACCTTCCTCATGGATGTTAAGAGACACTGTCTGGGAACCAGAAGGGGGCATGGTGGTTAAGGTGCTAGCTTTTCCACATGGCTTACTGCAGTTCAAGTCCTGAAGCTGATGGTTTGAAAATCACAACGAATAAATAGATAAATAAATAAATGTGAATGTTCAAAGAGAGAGAGAGAGACGCTGCCTGGTGGGTCTGCTCTGTCAGTGGTGGCTCCACTCAGCTCCAGCGTAAATCAGGCCGTGCTGAGAATCAGCTAGGAGACTGACGCGGCTTGCAAGAGGGACGTCAAATGTAGATGAACTTGATAATTCCAAAATCTAAAAGGTTGTTCTTCAGTTTTTGTTTATTCGCTTGTCTGTTTATGTTTCAGTTACACATTGCCACTCACAGAAGGAAAGCCCAATGTCACAATCCTTGATACTCAGATCCGAAAGCTGCGATCCAGATCGCTCTCCCAGATCCATGAGGCGGCCGTGAAGATGCGCTCTGAAGCCACAGATGTGAAGTCCACCCTGGTGGAAATTGAGGACTGGCTTGATAGGTTGATGCAGCTAACTGAAGAGGTAGGACTTCTACACTACACAAGTGTCGCTTGACGTGGAAGGATTCTCTACAAGGGCACCGAGGATGGAGGTGGTGGAAGGAGGTTCTCGGATATCAAATAGTTCTGACGGATGATGAAAATCAGTCATTAGCCTGAATGCTGATGGCAGTGGGCATGAAAGTCCTCAAAATCAGGGCAAGAAGAGAATTTTGGGTTAACGATCCAGGAAATATCTCCTAAAGTGGACAGATGATTACCATTTTCACAGGATTGGCCCAAGGTTTTGAATGAAGGAGCAGATTGGTATAGCACTTAGGATTAAAGTGTCTGCTTTGGTTGGGGTTGGGGTTTGACAGAAGAACAACGGGATGAGGGGACCTTTCCTCCTCTTCCAGAGCTCAAGGAGGTAGGTAGTAATAATTTTGCGGGTAGAAATACATTTGAAAAAACACATAAGATCATAGGTCATTTTTATTCTTCTTTGTACCTTTTAGTACTTTCAAAGTTTTCTATAGGGAATTTCTGTCTCCTTTTCAATCCAGTAGAAAGATGCTTTTTCAAAAGCTAGATTGACACCGTAGATGTTGCAGAACTGGACTGTGAGGCAGATGCTGTAAATAGAATGTTCTGTAAATCCAAGAACTCTGCTGCTGCTCGTGGCTTTCCTCAAATGATGCCCGGGGTCAGGGGGGGTGTTTCCCAAGTGCCTCTCAGAGCAGAGGAGATGGGACTTCCACCAGGTGAAGCACCCCCTCTCCCCTCTATGTCCTTTGAGCAGCCTCAGCCCACCTCAGTGCCACGGGCTCACCTTGTGTCCTAGAAGATGCTGGGTCTCGGGAATTGGGGGCAAAGCCTCAACCCCAGTATTTCTTTACTAAGCAGAAAACCGTGAGGGTCTTACCTGCAGGTCTCTGGTTCCTCTGCACTTGAACTAACCCGAATTTTGCCTCTGTTTCTGTCCAACCAAACGACAGCCTCAGAACAGTATGCCTGACATTATCATCTGGATGATCCGGGGAGAGAAGAGACTGGCCTACGCACGGATTCCTGCGCATCAGGTCTTGTACTCCACCAGCGGTGAGAACGCGTCTGGGAAGTACTGCGGGAAAACCCAGACCATCCTCCTGAAGGTACGCGTCCTCACTGTGCGCGGTGGGACCCGGATTCCGGGGAGGGGCTGCTTTGCTTCAGTTGCTACTCGTTGAATAAGTAGGAGTTTGTGATCAATTCTAACCTGTCTGGCCCCTTCTCTAGGGAGAGAACTTTCAGAGAATGATCTGAGGTCGGCTGGTATTGAATCAAGGACACTTTCTATTAGTAGACGCCTTTGGGTCGTTAATATGAACCAGGCAATGTGAATGCTTTACTTCCGGGCCTGAATTTTCCATTCACTTCTCGTGGCTCATGCAAAGCACTGCCTTTCTTCTCTTTATTCTAATGAATGTGGAGGAAAGGGGGCAGAAGGCGGTAGATCGTCCATGGAATCCATTGCTCTAACTAAATGGGTCCTCGAATTCCAACTTTCTAGGGCAGAGGTTCTGAATGTGTTTAGAGTCATGGACCCCTTTAAGTGTCTGTAGAAGCTACTGGCCTTCCCCAGAAGAATGCACGTGGCACACCTAGCCCATGTTTGCATGATTCAGGAGCTTCCTAGAGCCCATACCCCATCCCAAGACTTCCCGTTAAGAGCTGCTCTGGGGTCCAGCACGTGGTGTAGTGGTTAAGGCACTGGACACCCTCATGGCAGACCGTAGTTTGAGTCCTAGACCCAGTGGCTTAAAACTCACACTGGCATGTGTGCATATGTGCCCATAATCCCAAGAGGAGAATGGAGAGGGGGGATGGTTTCTCACCTTTTCTCTCTCTGTCTCTGTCTGATGAGCATGTAAATCTCTCTTAAAACAAACAAAACAAACAAAAAACTGCTCTGTGTGTGCATATGGAGAAGCAAAGGAGAACTAGAGCTGGAAACAAGGAAATCAGAATAGTTCCCATCTGCATGTTTTGACATCTACTTCCTGGCCATCTCAAACTGGAGTTCTTTGGATTTGGGGGAAGAAGAATAAAATTCAAGAAGAAAAAAGGCAGTCAGGGTAGACCATTCTCTTAAAACAAGGAGATACCTGCTACCTTTTTTATTATTTTAATTTTTACTTACTACTGTTTTTTTTTGTTTGTTTTTTAATTTGCTGCAGAGTACATGTGCTCATCAGAGACAGAGAAACAGAGAAACAGAGAGAAAGAGGAAAAGCGAGAAAGCAAGCCACTGGGTCTGGGTCTCAAACTACAATTGACCATGTAGAAGCCTTAACCCCCACACCACCTGCTAGAACCATATCTGCTAACTTTTAATATAGTTGCTTGTTGGGACCAGCAGGTGGCATGGGGGTTAAGACCCTGGACTCCCACATGGTCAACCACAGTTCAAGTCCCAGACCTGGTGGCTTACTTTCTCTCTCTCTCTCTTCTTAATTTTTTTTTTTTTGAGAGATTTTCACTATAGGGCGCGTGCGCTCGCCAGACAGACAGAGAGAGACATTAGAGACAGAAAGCGAGAAATCGCCCCCCAGGGGGGATGGTCACACCGCAATCCCTTCTCCTCCATTCTCCTCTCGGGATCTTGGGCATGCACGCACATGCGCCCGGCGTGAGTTTTAAGCCACCGGGTCCAGGACGCGAACCGCGGTTGACTACGTGGGAGTCCAGGGACATAGCCATTACGCTAACTGCTGGTTCCCAATTTTTTAAAAAAGATAATAAATAAAATTAAATAATTCTTTAAAAAGTATTTAGTTGCTTCTTGCTCTAACCAGAAGGGTGTGAACAGAATCAGAGTGACTATCTTATTTCAAGTGTCTCATGGTAGAATACACTTCACTTAAGATAGGATCACAATTAGAATTGACCTCAGCAGGGAGTCGAAGCAAACTGATCAGTAAATAAAGTTCACAGAAAGCAGGAGAAGAGACCAAGAAGTATTCTGTGTAAGGTTTTAGAGTTCAGTGGAGAAATAGCAAAATGCTTTGAAGACAATGGTTTATATATTTATTGGTTTTGTTAATACTCATCATTCAGTTTAAGGAGCCATTTTTAAAAATTATTTATTTTATTTTATTTCTTTTATGATTTTTATTTGCTATAGGGCACATGCACTCCCAGAGAGAGACAGACACAGAAAGTGAGAGAGAAAGTGAGAAAGCAAGTCACCAGGTCTGGGACTTGAACTATAGGCCACCTGGAAGTCCAGCTCCTTAGCCACCATGCTGCCTGCTGGCCCCTTAAGGAGCCATTTAAATCAGTGGGTTGTGTTGGTCTTGAGGTCCTTTTTATGTTTAAAATGTTTTGGAAGACACCAGAGGACTTTTGTTCATGTAGATTATATGTGTTAATAGTTACTGTAATATAAATGAAAACTGAGGAATTTTTAAGTTTTTATGTTAATTCATTAAACAGTAATTATTAACTCATTATTAACACAAATTACAGATAAAGTATATATTTAACTTAAAATGTTCATATTAACATAAATTACTTTTTTATGTGATATAACTATATTTTCTATAAAAAGAGAACAGTGATACTCTCACATTTTTTTCAGACATCTTTAATACTTGCATAAAATAGAAATACAACCAGATTCTCTGCTTACGCATTTCAGTTGATAGAATAAGTTATTTGGTTGAAATACACATAGAGAATCCATCTTCTCATAGATATGTACTTGGAAAAGGAGGAATATTTTAATAATCTTTTAAGATAATTGTGGGTATTCATCTTTGCTGTCACGAGACTCAAGCAGTAGCTCTTAAAAAATTAATTGCAATGTGAAATCTGAAATCACATCAATAAATTTTCCATGCTCAGCTACATTAAAATCCATTGGTCTTTCTTTATGTTTTTAAAAATTCATTCCTAGAGAGAGAGAAAGAGATGGGTATCTTTGACAGGGTCTTATCACGCCGCAGCCCTCCCCCAGCCGCCGAGCCAACCAGGATCATGGGGTATGCACCTGCACCTCTGTAGTGTTTGGCTTGACTCAGGATCTGAACCTGGGCTTCTCGTGTAGTCTGTATCATGAAGTGGTGCACTACTACCTGTGCCATCTGGCTGGGCCTTTCTCAGACTTTGAATGGCTCTTAATCACGCATGATTTTCTATCATTTAGAAAACATCGGTTCACTGAGCTACTCAACTCTTCATAACACTGATGGATGTCATCATACAATACTGAAAAAAATGTCACATTTATATCGCTTATCGTATCAGAAAATACTTTATGTATTGGGAAGCTGTTGAACTCAACATGACAGATACAAAATTTTGAAACTCCTATTTTCTACTTTAAAGCTTAAATTTTGTCATCGGCAACCAATACGTTCCATTATTTTTCTAGATGTGAGAAGCTTGCCTGAGGTCAAGAAAATGTCTGCCCTTGGGACCAGCAGATTGCTTAATGGTTACATTGTTGGGCCCCCACGTAGTCGACTGCAGTTTGAGTCCGGAAAACAGAGGCTTAAAACTCATGCTATTCACATGTGTGTGCATGCCCAAATCCTGAGAGAAGGAATTGCAGCATAGCCACCCCCGGGGGGCAGTTTCTTGCTTTCTGTCTCTGGCGAGTACACACACCCTGTAGCAAAAACCTCTCTCTCCAAAAAAAAAAAAAGAAAAAGAACATATCTGCCCCATACTCAAATCTGAATAACTATATTTGTTTGTCAATTGCTATTTTAAGTAAAACATTTTTGTTTTTAAAAAGTATATTTTTGCATAGAAAAATGTGTGATGACTTTTCCAGTGACCCAATAGTTCAAGTCACAATGGAAACAATTTGCACGAAGCTTTATCTCGCGAAAACCATCGTTGAGTCAGCAGGGGGTATGGTGGTTGAGGTGCTGGACTCTCACATGGCCAGCCGTGGTTTGAGTTTCCAACCTGGCAACTTGCTCTCCTTCTCTGTCTCTATCTGATGAGCACATGTGCCCTGTAGCACATTTTCTGAAAAACATAGTAAATAAAAAATAAATAATATTTTTTTAAAAAAAGAAAGAAAACCATCATCTGCTCATTAGTCACTAAAATGCTTTGTTGTAGACTTCCCATTTCATCACATGAAATAGTAAAAGGCATGTGCTCAAAGGTCAAGATGCCATAAGATTAGGAATTTCTACTCCTCCGTGGACAGAATGCCTTAGTAAAACCTAAGGTTTGATTTTCTTTACTCCAAGCGCAGAGTCAAGTATTACCATTATTTTCGCTATTACTAATGGGGACAGTTTGGTGTCATCACCTTGATTCCTGATACTGTACCAGGAGCTTTCTTGTCATTGCTGTGACACCATTGATACTGTAAAAAAGATACCCACCACGCTGGTCTTATCAGGAAAATTGTTTGACTTTGTGAGCCTCCTGAGAGGGCCTCGGGGACAGCAGGAGCCTATGATGCTCACTTGGAGCCCATGGCTTTGGCTATAATTATAGTCTTTGCCGTAGGGTCACTTGGAAGTATTTTAACTAAAGCAAACATGAAGTTCGACTGGTGAGAGCAATGTATGGAGTACTGTCCGCTCTGGGCCCAGCCTAACACGTTATTGTCCATCTTACAGTATCCGCAGGAGAAAAACAATGGGCCCAAGGTGCCTGTGAAATTGCGAGTGAACGTGTGGCTGGGCCTGAGTGCTGTCGAGAAGAAGTTCAACAGCTTTGCAGAAGGAACCTTCACCGTCTTTGCTGAGATGGTACGCTTAATGATGTCACTCTCTTTTCCTCTTTGGTGGAGATGGGGTGGGTAGTTTGACCTTTTATCCTTAAGATAAAACAATCAAAAACCCAAAACCACCACTGCCATTGTTATCACCACCTGTACATCACATACCCACAACCACCACTGCCATTGTTATCACCACCTGTAGTCCCACGGAAGGACCATATCCCAAGGGGACAGGAGAAGATCTTCAGGTTTTGTCAACCTCAGCATGCACCAGGGTGACAAGTCTCATTAATACCTTTCTGTGATGATTCCAAGAGATGACCTCCACCTCAGTCTCACCAGCAATACTGAAAATGGCTGCCCCTCTCGGGACTAGAACTCAGTAACAGTCATACCGTTGTCTGAGCGAGTAAAGTACACACACACGCACATGCACATACTCACACCTACACACACGCTAACCCAGAAAAGGGGACATTTGAGATGTTCAGATCCAAGAAGCTTGCCTAGCATGGAGGTGGGAGTTTAAACCCCAGAAGACCCATTTCACACTTGGAGGAAGTCTCAGATAGGTTTGTCCCAGGGCCGAGAAATCCCACCAGAATACTTCGAAAACTGTAGAGGTTGTTTGTACAGCCTTCGCTGAATTTAAAATCCATATTGTTGGGCCAGAGGTGGCATGGTGGTTAAGGCTCTGAACTTCCATGTGGCCAACTGTGGTTCAAGTCCTGGACCCAATAACTTGCCTTCTCATTTTCCTTCTCTTTCTCCATCTCTCTCTAGTGAGTGTATGTGCCCAATAGCAAATTAAAATAATAATAATAAGTAAAATTAAATAAATAATTCAAAAAAGGTCCACATTGTTCATTAAAATCTCATGAAAATAAACTTTTATAGCTAAAAGTAGAGTTACTTTGATTTTCCTATACACTATTTTTTTTACGTTTGATCTTGTTTTATATTTTTTACTATTACATAAAAATTCTAGGTCATTTAAAATATTTGCTTGTTTGTATGGACTTAAAAGGAGGGAACCAGCAGTTAGCGTAATGGCTATGTCGCTGGACTCCCACGTAGTCGACCGCGGTTCGCGTTCTGTACGCGGTGGCTTAAAACTCACGCCGGGCGCGTGTGCATGCGTGCCCAAGATCCCAAGAGGAGAATGGAGAAGAAGGGATTGCGGCGTGACCATCCCCTCTGGGGGGTGATTTCTCACTTTCTGTCTCTATGTCTCTCTCTGTCTCTCTGGCGTGCGCACGCGCCCTATAGCAAAAACCTCGCAAAAACCCCCCCAAAAAAAAAAAAAAAAAGGAGACTCAGTGTGGCCCAGATTTTAAAAAAACAAACAAACAAACAAACAAAAAAAAACTAAACTAAATATTCATTGTATTTCAAGAGCAGAGAGACATAATGCGGTGAAATGGATGACAAGAGTTGTGTGAGCACAGGAACCACAGAACTGTACCTGTGGAGATCAGGCACTGCAGGAACCAGCTACTGCCTCTGCAGTCCTAAACAGAGCCACAGGCCCGGGGGCAGCTCCTACTTGCTGTCAGAAACAAAATTGCAGCTAGTTCCCATTTGCCTTTTTTATTATTATTTCTTATTTTTTAATTAATTAATTTACATTTATTCATTGAACATTGTCACAGCATACAAAATGTAATTTCCCATCCAGAAAATGCTGCATAGTAGCTTAATCATACATGTTATTGTCAATAATTTTCCATTTCTGGTTTCATATATATATTTTTCCCATTTCTCACCCTCTGCCATTTCCCATGCTTTTCCCACACTATTTCAGGTGTCCACAGTTGTTTTCCATTCCTTTCCCCCCCACATTTTATTGATTCACAAATTTCTTAAATAATCTAACTACCTTCAATAGCAAGCTCTGCTGATATATACATATCTATGAATACGTGTCTGACTTAAGGCTTGAGTAGAATGAATATACTATAAGGTAACACCTAGCTGATGCTATATAATTTACTACGGTCATTAATTATGTATTTTTTACTATATTTTTCAACTTTGAGGAAAGCAGATTTAACTTTAGTAAATCAAAGAAATGCTAAGGAAATATGCTTAAAACTTAAAGCCAGGAAACAGATTGGGAATCTGTTCAAATGGTAGGTACATGAACCTACAGGACAGAAATCCTTAAAATCAGAAAACAAAGCCTAGAAAAAAAATCAACAATGTGTTAGTCAAAAGTCATAAAATTCTATTTCACCAGTTCAGTCTCATGTACTTTATCTTTTGTTGTGATTCAATTTTCCCAAATTAAATTCTGGGATATAATATTCAACTCCAGACTTGTCCCCATGATTAAGTTGGCCATTTTCTTAGTTTTTGAAGTCTTATTTCCGTGTAACTGTATTTAGTTTTCCTGGTATAGCACTCCTTGCAGAACTTCTTGGAGATCTGGTCTGGTGTCGGTAAATTCTTTCAGATTTTGTTTATCTGAGAATGTTCTTGTCTTTTCTTCCCATATGAATGATAATTTTGCCAGGTATAGTATCTGTGGTTGCAGTTGCTTTTCCCTTAACGCTTTGAACATATTTTCTCATTCTTTCCTCACTCGCATTGTTTCAGTTGAGAAATCCGCTGTCAGCCTGATGGGGTATCCTTTGTAGGTAACTTGCTTTTCTCTCTTGCCAATATTAGTATCTTATCTTTGTGGTTTTCATCAATCTGGCTACAATGTGTCTTGGAGAAGATCTTCTTGGGTTGATTCTATTGGGGGTCCTTTGTATTTCCTGGTACTGGATCTTTGAGTGCCTCTCTAGGTTTGGAAATTTTCTTCCAGGATTTCATGGACTAGATTGTCAATGCCCTCATTGGTCTCTTCCCTCTTTGGGATACCAATTATCTGGATGTTTGGACATTTAATGGTATCAAGTATTTCTCGTATAGTATTCTCATTTTTGGGTGGGCAACTTTCTCAGTCTTCATGGTGGATTTTTCTAGGCCAGCGATTCTATCTTCTACCTCTGATATTTGATTTTCAGTATGATCTAGCCTGCTTTTAATACTTTCAAGGGAGGTTTTGACTTCCTATTTGATTTTCTTTTTTATAGTGGGAATTTCCTCTTTTAGATCTTGCAAGAATTTCCTCACCTCCTGAAGCTCCTCAGCTCCTTTCACCTGCCTCTACAAGGCAATATGAGACATATAATGATCATGTCTAGTTAATTCTTCTCTTTGGCAGTTCATTGTCTCTCTTCTCTTCGATCTTTGTGAGTTTTGTCACCATGAAAATTCTAAATTCTTTATCAGACATTTCCATGAATTTCATCATACTGTCTGAGGATGAAGAGGACTTATTTTACCTTCGAGGAGAGGTATTTTCTTGTTTTTCCATATTTCTTGTGACCCTGCAGTGATTTCTAGTCATCAGATGGAGATATACTTATTAACATAATAAAGGAGCTCGAAAGCCCAGAGAATACCTTAGCTTGAAAAAAAAAATTAAAAAATTAAAAGACTCAGGGAGACACAGAGACAGAGAGAACTAGAGACAAAGAGATAGGTAACACTACCCACTAGAAATAAGTGAAGAAGAAGTCTCAGCAGAAAATCTTTATTTTAAGTCTCTGAAAGCACTAGTTCACAGCTGAAGTTTAGGATCCATGTGGAGCTAAACACTATTTTTAAGTCAAAGTGTTTATGGATTTAAATTTACTAAATGTTTTTGGTGGGTCTTTTCTGATAATTTTCATGAAGCCCATTCTACAGATGGGTGCTCATGTTTGAATAAATGGGAAGACTGCCTTCATTCTAGCTGATCTATAATGTCCCTGCTGCCCACTAGTGTACCTGGTAAGTGGCTCAGCACTGTGGTTCTGACCTACTTGCTGGGAAAGAAAACCCAGGGCCACCTTTTATTTTTACTTTTGAGTCATTCAACAGTGCCTGGCATGTAATAGGGCCCTACGTGTATTTCATGAATGAATGAAAAAATAATAGGTCTCTATAAACACTGAATGAATAGCAAATAGAATTATCCCATCTATGCTTCCTTCTCTTAGTCCTCCCTCCCTGCTTCATTTGTCCACTCATGCTTTCAGGAAGCTGTGGCTTTCTGCCAGGCACTGAGCCAGGTGCTGAAGAAGATAAAGAAGCCAAGCTGTGGGGCCAGCAGCTGGTGTAATGGTTAAGGCGCTAGACTCTCACGTGGCTGATTGTGGTTCGAGTCCCAGACCCGATGGCTTGAAACTCATCCAGGTGTGGGTGGGCACCTGCCCAAAAGTCCAAGAAGAAAATGGAGGAGAAGGGATGGCAGAGTAGCCATTTCCTCTTGGGGGGGGGGATGATTTCTCACTTTCTGTCACTCCTTCTCTCTCTGTCTCTCTGGTGAGCGCATGTACCCTATAGCAAAAATTTCTCAAAAAAAAAAAAAAAAAGAAAAAAAGAAACCAAGTTGACTCCTCAAAGATCTCACAGTCTATTGCCATGATTGTAGAACTGCGTCTCCTGCTGACTCTCAGGGCCACCTTGGGGGTTCCAATTCCGTAGCTGAGTTAGGGGTTGGACCAGAAGTGACTGATGTGGGTGGACATGGGGCATCAATGGACCACTTTAGAAACAGCGGAACACCTGGAAGACACACACAAACATGCCCGTTCAGCTCAGACTTAGATGTGCTATTGGAGATCACTAGAAGTTGTACTCATGTGTATAGGGGAGGTCCTCAATGGAGCATGTTGATGTTTTTCTGGGTGGAAAGTGTGGAGTAGGGACATCCAGGAACCATAGGAAAGACTCGTTCCAACCTTCCCATACGATTTCTGGGTGCCTACCTGCTCTCCTGCCCCGTGGCTGGGGCTAAGCCTGGACAGGTAGCCCTAAAAATGTTCAACCAGCCCAAGGCTCCCCTGCACTCTCCCATTTCCAGACTCTTCTCTGCTTAGAGCAGAGATTGAGCTTCACCTTAGGTAGAGACGTCCCACCGTTTCCATAGTTTTATTTTACTCCGTAGTTTCTCCAGTGGCCTGTGAACACCAGCAGTGGCACATGAAAAACAACAGGAATGTCACCAGACCTTGCCTTCATGTGCTAATACCAAAACTTAGTTTTCTGTACAGTTTCCTCCTGAATTTCTGGGGTCTTTGAGGCCTTCACATATCTTGCTCATGAATACTTTGTCCTTCCTGTCCTGCCCCACAGCTTCTGGTTAAAGCCATCGCCCTCAAGGCCCCTTGTGAGTTCTATCTCCACTGCTCCCAACTCCTTCTGGTCCATGCCAGAGTCCTTCCTGAATCTTACTGGAGGTGTGCTGGCTTCCAAGCTGAAGTGCAGGCATGCCTTGCTTCT